CACAACAAAACGTCATATTCTCTTGCACTCTACCATCATTAGTTGGTTGTTGTCCATTGTTCTCAAAGAGTGTGAGGGATTGTCTGATGTTGGCTACGTGCCACGTGGGGGTTGTGGCAAGATGGGGCAGGGACAAGATATTAGGAAGTAACTGGAGCTTACGCTCTCGAGGCAGGGGGCTGTGCCATGTGGAGTTGTGGAACTGGGATAGGAACTGGATACGGGGAAGTAACCGGAGCTCACGCTCCCAAGGCAGGAGGCTGTACCATGTGGAGTTGTGGTGAACTGGGATAGGAACAGGATACAGGGAAGTAGCCGGAGCCTGTGCTCCTGAGGCAGGGGGCTGTGCCATGTGGGAGTGGGACGGCAGAGAACGAGCTCCCTTTGTCTAGTCCTCTCCCTAGGTGCAGCGCTAACCCCAGACGTCTCCTTCCGGTATTCGGGCCTAGCTTCCTTTGTCACGACCTCTCCCTTTGTGCAGCACTAACCCCAGACGCCTCCTTCCAGTATCTAGGCCTAGCTTCCTTTGTCACGTCCTCTCCCTTGGTGCAGCGCTAACCCCAGATGCCTCCTTCCGGTATCTGATCCTACAATCAGTCACTGGTAGGCGGGCTGAGGAGGAGGGGCTAGGAAGGTATATAAGGGGCGGTAGGGGTCAGAGCTCGCTCTCTTGCTCTCTCTTGCTCTTGCTCGTGCTTTCCGGCTTGGCCTTGCTGTGATGGCCTCTGAATAAAGTTTGAGTGCTTGCACCTCCCGATCGGCTCGTCTCTATGTTTATCCAGGTGGGCTCCGAAGACTGGTAAGTATGACCCTGGCAGCCTGCTCCTGTTAGAAGGAGAGTGCACGGCCCCGACCGGCACAAAAGAGGACCAAAATGATATCACTAAGTTGGAGACAAGGTATAGTGTGTCTGACTGTGGCTGATCAAACCAATATGACCTCAGAAGGTTCTACCATAGACTGGGTACAAATAATCCACATGAACATTTGGAGTGGAGATGTCTCTAAATTTGAGCACTTCACCTTTCTTTTCAGCTATTATGATTCCACTTTGTTTATTCTTTGATGCAGGCACACCATGCTGGGGGCCAGGGGAGTGGTGGTCCTATGCCAGTGTCTCCCATGTCTCACTACTGATTCCAAAGTTAGTTGAGAGATCTTGAGAATTCTTGTATTGCTTCTAATGACCTCCATATGAACACTTGCCTTGTGTTAGTTCTCCATAAAATAGTCCTTTAGGCAAACATACATTTGGCATTTGAGCAATGTGGCCAGTCCATCAGAGTTGTCTCTGCAGTAGTTTGAATGTTTGGCAGTTAAGCTCAAGAAAGGACCTCAGTGTTTTCTACCTTATCTTGCCAGGTGATCTTTGGAATCTTTTTAAGAAAATTTAAACGGTAATGATTCAGTTTTAGATTTTTATTTATTTATTTATTTATTTTTAGTTTTCAACAGTCACTTCCCCAAGATTTTGAGTTCCAAATATTCTCCCCATCTCATCCCTCTCTCCACCACAAGATGGCATGCATTCTGTATACCCCTTCCCCTAATCTGCCCTCCCTTCTATCTCTCCCCCCCTTCTCTTATCCCCTACTCTTCTATTTTCCTGTAGGGCAGGATATATGTCAATACCCCATTTCCTGTATTTCTTATTTCCCAGTTGCATGTGAAAACAATTTTTTTTAACATGTGTTAACATTTGTAACTTTGGGTTACAAATTTTCTCCCTTCCTCCCTCCCCACCTACCCTCATTGAAAAGGCAAGCAACTCAATACAGGTTATACATGTGTAGTCATGCAAAACACTTCCATAATAGTCATGTTGTGAAAAACTAAGTATATTTCCCTTCATCCTATCCTGCCCCCCATTTATTCTATTCTCTCTTTTGATCCTGTCCCTCCTCAGAAATGTTTGCTTCTGATTATCCTCTCCCCCAATCTGCCCTTCCCTCTATCATCCCCCTGCTCTCTTGTCCCCTTACCCCCTTATTTTCCTGTAGGGTAAGATAGATTTCCACACCCCATTGTGTATGTTATTCCCTCCTTAAGCCAAATCCTATGAGAATAAGATTCACTCATTCCCTCTCACCTTCCCCCATTTCCCCTCCACTGTAAAAGCCTTTTCTTGTCTGTTTTATGTGAAATAATTTACCCCATTCTACTTCTCCCTTTCTCCTTCTCCCAGTATAATCCTCTCTCACCTCTTAATTTTATTTTCCAGATATCATCCCTTCATCTTCAACTCACCCTGTGCCTCCATCTATTTATCTATCTACATATAATTTTTTCCCTCCCACTACATATTGACAAAGGACTCATGAGTTACAAATATCATCTTTCCATGCAGGAATGTAAACAGTTCAACCTTAATAAGTCTCTTATGATTTCTCTTTCCTGTTTACCTCTTCATGTTTCACTTGAGTCTTGTATTTGAAAGTCAAATTTTCTATTCAGCTCTGGTCTTTTCCTCAGGAATGCTTGAAAGTCCCCTATTTTGCCCTGAAGGATTATACTCAGTTTTGCTGGGTAGATGATTCTTGGTTGTAATCCTATCTCCTTTGCCCTCTGTAATATTATATTCCATGCCCTGCGGTCCCTTAAAGTAGAAGCTGCTAAATCTTGTGTTATCCTGATTGTGTTTCCACAATACTTGAATTGTTTCTTTCTGGCTGCTTGTAATATTTTCTCCTTGACCTGGGAATTCTGGAATTTGGCTACAATATTCCTAGGAGTTTTCCTTTGGGGATCTCTTTCAGGAGGTGATTGGTGGATTCTTTCCATTTCTATTTTACCCTCTGGTTCTAAAATATCAGGGCAATTTTCTTTGGTAATTTCTTTCTTTCTTTCTTTCTTTCTTTTTTTTTTTTAAGGCAATTGGGATTAAGTGACTTGCCCAGGGTCACACAGCTAGTAAGTGTCAAGTGTTTGATCTGAGGCCGAATTGGAACTCAGGTCCTCCTGACTTCAGGGCCAGTGCTCTATCCACTGTGCCACCTAGCTGCCCCTCCTTGATAATTTCTTAAAAGATGTCTAGGCTCTTTTGTTGATCATGGCTTTCAGATAGTCCAATAATTTTTAAATCCTCTCTCCTGTATCTATTTTCCAGCTCAGGTGTTTTTCCAATGAGATATTTTACATTGTCTTCTATTTTTTCATTCTTTTGGATTTGTTTTCCAGTGTCTTGATTTCTCACAGAGTCACTAGCTTCCAATTGCTCCATTCTAATTTTTAAGGAAGTATTTTCTTCAGTAAGCTTCTGGACTTCCTTTTCCATTTGGCCAATTTTGCTTTTTAAGGCATTCTTCTTATTGGCTTTTTGGAACTCTTTTGCCATTTGGTTAGGCTATTTTTTAAGGTGTTATTTTCTTCAGTATTTTTTTGGGTCTCCTTTAGCAAGGTGTTGACTTGTTTTTCATGAGTTTCTTGCATCACTCTCAGTTTTTCCTCTACTTCTCTTACTTGCTTCTCAAAATCCTTTTGGAGCTCTTTCATGGTCTGGGACCAATTCATATTTTTCTTGGAGGCTTTGGACGTAGGAGCTTTGATTTTGTTGTCTTCTTCTGGTTGTATGTTTCGATCTTCTTTGTCACCAAAGTAAGTTTCTATGGTCTGACTCTTTTTGCGCTGCTTGCTCATGATCCCAGCCAATTACTTGAGATATAAGCTCTTTGTTAAGGTAGAGGTCTATTTCCAGTGTGGAGAATGTACTGTCCCAAGCTTCGGGGATTTTGTGCAGCTGTTTTCAGAGATACTTCTGGGGACCTGTAAATTTTCAGTTCTTCCAAGGTGCTATGATCAAGGGCGAGGTGTTTACTCCTTTCCTGGCCTATGCTCTGGTCTATGAGTGACTGCAAGTGCTCTTTTCTGTCCTGGAACTGTGAGAAGGATTTCCTCTCCACCACCACTAGGAGCTCTGCCATGCCAGCGCTCCTCCTCGCCCCAGGACCACCACCCAGACCTGTGACCCAGATCCAAGCATGGGCAAAGCAAGAGAATCCTGCACCAGCAAAAAGATCTCTGCAATCCCTCTCTGATCAGCCACTCAATTCCCCCTAAGTCCATGAGCGAGAAGCTCAGGAAGCAGCCCCCGCCCCAGGGCCAGGCTCGGGGACTGAAGCTGAGACCACCGCGCTTCTCTCTCTCACCAAAGACACAGATTTTTCCCACTGACCTTCTAAGTTGTCTTTGGCGTTTTGGGGTTGAGAGTCCTGGAAACCACCACAGCTGCCTGTGATTCAGTCCTCTGAGGCCTGCTCCAGGTTCACTGTGGTCTGTGCTCCCACGCCGAACTGCGCTCCTCTCTCAGCGCTGCGCAATAGACCTTTCCAATCAATCATCCAGATTGTCTTGGGCTGGAAATTTGTTTCACTCTGTCTTTTTGTGGGTTCTGCTGCTTTAGAATTTGTTTAGAGCCATTTTTATAGGCATCTGGAAGGGTTTGGGGGACAGCTCAAGTAAGTCACTGCTTTTACTCCACCATTTTGGCTCCACCTCTCAGTTTTAGTTTCAGGTATGGTGCTGTTGCACTGTCCAAGTTCCATAAGCATATAACAATGAGGTCAACACAACAGTTCTGTAGACCTGCAGTTTGGTAGGCAGTCTAATACCTTTGTTCTCCCATACTTTACTTCAGAGCATCCTAAATACTGAGCTAGCTCTGGTAATGGGCATGTCAACCTCATCACTTATGTGGACATCTCCGGAAAGTCTACTGCCAAGGTAAGTGAACTTATCCATAGCATTCAAAATTTCTCCATTTACTGTGATCTATGGTTCCATACAATGGATGGTATGGTGTTAGCTGATGTAAAACTTCTGTTTTCTTGGCATTAATTGTTAGGCCAAATTAGCACAAGCAGTAGAAAATCAATCTGTACTTTGCTGCATCTCAGCCTCAGAGGCTACAATGAGTACACAGTCATCTGCAGATAAAAAGTCACACACCAATTCTCCCTCCACTTTAGTCTTGGCTTGTGGCCTTTTCAAATTAAAAAATTTACTGTCAGTGTAGTAGCTGACCTTGACGTCATTTTCATCCTTGTTGAAGGCTTCTGATAACATCACAGAAGACATCAAGCTATAAAGCATGGGTGTAGGCACACAAGCCCTGCTTCACTTCACTGGTGGCTAGGAAAGCATGAGAGCATTGTCCATTATCCGGAACTTGGGCAAGCATGCCCTCATGAAACTGATGTACATTGGGATCTGAAAAGGATGCTTTTAATATTTCTATTTTCTGCTTTTAACTATAAAATTTTTATGCCCTAATATATGGTACCATGTAAAGGTACCATGAACTACTGAATTTCTGAATTCCTTTCTATTCTCATTCACTTCTCTCCAGATAGCTATCATAGCTAGCTGATCTAAAATTCTATTCATTTCCTTGACTGCTTTCTTATTTATTTTTGTTAGATTTATTTATTTATTATATCAATAGATGCAGGAAAAGTTTTTGATAAAGAACAACATTCATTTCTATTTTTAAAAAAAACACTTGAAAGTATGGATATAAATGGATTTTTTTCCTTTAACTGATAAAAACACATTTACTTAAAACCATCAGCAAGCATTATTGCTAATGGGAATAAGCTAGAATTCTTCCAGTAAGATCAGGTGTGAAACAAGGATGCCCACTATCAACAATATTATTCAGTATTGTATTAGAAATCCTAGCAATAGCAGTAAGAGAAGAAAAGGAAATAGAAGGAATCAGAATAGCAAAAGAGGTAGTAAAATTATCTCTTTTTGCAGATGATATGATGACATACTTGGAAAATCCCAAAGACTCAACTCAAAAATTAGCTGAAACAATGAATAATTTTAGCAAAGTAGCAGGATACAAAGTAAATCCGCATAAATCTTAAGCATTCCTATATATCACAAACAAAAACCTGCAAAAAGATAGTAAGAGATATTCCATTTAAAATAACTCTAGACAATATAAAAAACCTGAGAGTACACCTGCCATAACAAACCCAGGAACTATATGAACAAAATTATTCAAAACTTTTTATATAAATAAAATCAGATTTAAATAACTGGAGAAATATTAATTGTTGATGAGTAGGCAGGCCAATATAATAAAAAGACAATTTTACCTGAAGTAATTTATATATTCAATGCCATCCCAATTAAATTACCAAAAAATTATTTTACTGAGTTAGAAAAAATAATAGCAAAATTCATTTGAAAGAACAGAAGGTCAAGAATATCAAAGGAACTGATGAAAAATGTAAAGGAAGGAGGTTTAGCTATACCAGATCCTAAATTATATTGTAAGGCAGTATTTATCAAAACTATCTGGTACTGCCTAAGAAATAAAAAGGTAGATTAGTGGAACAGAGTAAACCTACAATTTGTAACAGCAAATCACTATAGTAACCCTGTGTCTGACAAGTTTAAGGTCTTAAATTTTGGGGATAAGAATTCATTATCTGGTAAAAATTGTTGGGAAAGCTGGAAAGCAGTCTGGTAGAAATTTGGCATAGACCAATATCTTACACCATTTACCAAGATATGGTCAAAATGGATATATAACCTAGATATAAAGAGAGAGATTACAAGAAAATTTGAAGAACATAGAATATATTACCTATCAGACTTATGGAGAGGTGAACAATTTATTAATAAACAAGAGACAGAAAGTGATGTGAAGTGTAAAATGGATACTTTTGGTTATATTATACTAAAAAGGTTCATACAGATAAAATAACTGTAGTTAAGATCTGAAGGAAAAAAGAAAATTGGGGAAAAAATTTATAGACAGTTTCTCAAAGGTCTCATATCTCAAATATTTAAAGAACTTTGTCAAATCTATAAGAATACAAGTCATAATTGATAAATGGTCAAAGGATATGAATAGTTTTTCGATGGAGAAATCAAAACAATTTATAGTGATATGAAAAAAATGCTCTAAATCATTATTGATTAGAGAAATGAAAATTAAAACAACCTTGAGATATCATTTCACACCTATCAGATTAACTAAAATGTTTGAAGGGGAAAGTGATAAATATTGGAGGGGATGTGGAAAATTTTGGAAACTAATTCATTGTTGAGGGAACTGTGAACTGATCCAACCATTTTGGAGAACAATCCAGAATTGTGCCCAAAGAGTTATTAAACTGCCTATACCCTTTGACCCAGCAATACCACTACTAGATCTGTTTCCAAAAGTGATTAGGGAAAAAGGAAAAGAACCCATACGTTCTAAACTATCTATAGCAGCACTCTTTATGGCGGCAAAGAACTAGAAATTCTGAGGATGCCTATCAATTGGGGAATGGTTGAATAAGTTGTGGTATATGATTGTGATGGAAATCTACTATGCTACAAGAAATGATGAGTTCAATGATCTTAGAAAACACAGATAGACTTGCATGAAATAATGAAGAGCAAAGTAAGCAGAACCAAGAGAATGCTGTATACAGTAACAGCAAATACTGTTTTAAGAACAACTGTTACTAAGTAATTTTGACTACTATAAATATTCAAATTAACTAAAAAGGACCTATGAAGGAAGACACTATCTACATTCAAAGAAAGAACTGATAAATAGAAGTAGTTATAGAATGATTTTACACATAAATACAAATTTGTGTCTAATGGTAGCCATCTCTAGGACAGGGGAAAGTGAAGGAAGGAAAAAAAGGGAAAAAAAGAATGTTACATAATAATTTTAATATATATTTAAAGAGAATGGCAAATTGTACACAATAGATTTGCAGTTTTATGTGCAATCACCTTTTTTCTATTCTACTATGTTATGGAAATGCTTGTTTTATTTCTTAAGTTCAGAATTTTAAAAAAGTGATAATCTGTATCTTAAGGAAACACTCAAATTTTATCCTAATGGATTTGTTTATCTAATAAATAATTGTTTTAATACTTTAAAAAATTCCTATTATTTTGAAATTATTCACACACATGTGATAGGTCCTTCATAACTAAGAAATATAACTGAGAAAAAAAAAGAAACTGACATATAATACTGATGAACCTCTCTAAGGCAACCAAATTTTGCCATAATTTTCCACAAGCCCTCATGACTGACAGTATCAAAGGCCTTGGTCAGAACAATGAATGTTGTGTACAGACCTCTGTTCTGCTCCTGGCATTTTTCCTGGAGTTGCTGAGCAGGAAACAGCATATCAACTATTCCTCAGCCCTTTCTGAAGCCACCCTGGCTCTCAGGTAGATGACCATCATCCAGTTGAAGAACTCTGGCCAGAATCTTGCCGGCAATGACTAGGAGAGACACCCCTTCCCCCCACCCCCGTGATTGTCACGGGACAACCTATTTCCCTTTTCTTTATAGAGATGGGCAATGGAAGCATCCCTAAATTCCTGGGGGACAACCTCGTCTTGCCATATAACCTAGAAGATTTCAGTCAGTTTTTGTATGAGCCGCCTTGGAAACCTCAGGTGCTTTGCCATAAGAGAGGAACCTAATGACATTCAAAGCCTCTTGCAGTTCAGCTAGAGAGGGACTGACTTCAATCTGAGGTCAGTGGCTTCAGAACTGATTGATTGATGACTGCTGAGAAAACTATGGAAGTGTTCAGCCCATCTCTGCAGGATCATGTCCTTATCACTAATCAACGAGGTTTCATCAGCACTGAGTAGTTGAGATGTACCATAGGTACCTGAAGGCCTATAAACAGCCTTCAGGAAAAGTGCTTTGGATTGTTACTATCAGTATAAAACTGAATTTCATCTGCCTTCTTATTGAGCAAAAAAATCCTCTTTCTCTCTAAATTTCTCTTGCACTTTGCTTTTGATGGAATTAAATGCTGTCTTCTTAGAGACTCACAAATTATTCTACTAGTAAATGTCATGGAGTTCTTATTTTTCACTTAGCAGCCTCTGTATTACTCCATCATTTTTTATCAAACCAATCTTGATGTTTGCAAGTATCCTAGCCCTGATGAGTAAATGCAGTGCTGTACAACAAATCTCTAAAAGCTGCCCATTCCTTTTCTGCTCCACTTCCCTCCAAGTTAGCAATGAACTGTTCATGCTTGGAGAAGCACACTCATCTGTTGACTTTGTCTTCTGGTAGTCTGTGCCTGCTCTGGAGTTAAAGTCACCCAGGACTATAAACTTGCCCTCTTGCAGCACATTGATTATGAGGGTCTCGAGAACTTGATAAAAATTTTCTTTGATTTCATCAGGGACTGTGATGGGGGGAGCATATATACTAATGCTGGTGGCGTGGCACTTTCCTGCAAGGTGCAATCACATTGTTGTGAGTCTGCAGTTCACTCCTTTTGGTAGGCATACAAGCCTGTTGACTAGCTTAATTTTTATTGCAAAACCTATGTCAGCTTCACTCTGCTCCCCATCACTGTGACCACTCCAGAAAAAAAATGTGTATCCAGCTCCAACTTCAGTGAACTGGCCTTCATTTGCCAACCTTGTTTCACTCGGGGCCACGGTTTGGATGCAATACCTGCTGAGTTCTTTTGGAACAAGAGCTGTTCATCTTTCACCTGTTCATCTGTATTTCATATTGTCCATAAGCATGCACACATTCCACATACCAATGATGAGTGGAATCATCTTTGCAAAAGTTTTTGTACATTTGGGGGAGTTTTAACTAAAGGGTGGTCCCCACCTGCTGTGGCAAGCAGGCCAGGGTTGGGTGAAGCAGACCATTTTAAGGCACCTTTTCTAACCGCTTCCTCACACCAGGAGGTGAGTCCTTTAAAAAGGCTGCTCAGATATCCAGAAGGCTGCTGAATCCTGCAGCTGCTTCAGTCCAGTGAGAAGATGACCCCATGGCTTGAGCCAGCTGTGTGCAGGGTTATGACTACAGCTCCCAGGGTACCCACACCTGCTGCTTCATCACTCATCTGTTGCCACAGGACTTTAAGGTAGGTAAAAACAATAAGTATGATGTCTTTTGATTCATGCATAAATTGGATTTAAAAGTGAGGCACAGTTCCTGAAGTCTTCAGCCTCTCTTCCAGAGTCATCAAAGTCCAGTGGCAAGGTAAAAGTCAAGACAGCTAACAATGGCTTGGAATGCAGTGGATGACGTTGGAGTCTTCTATGTCTGACCAAGCTTAAGTGCACCAAAGCAC